CAGACACTGGCCTAGGCACAGTGGGATTTTATCCGACACATTAAATGGGAAAATATTGAAATTTGATGTTGATAATATTGAATTCCTGTTAAATCATTGCAGTATTTTATTTTTTTATGACTTCCTTGCAATTGGGAGAAATTTGAATACACGATTAGTTTTCATTTCCATCTAAATTAATCCAAGAGTTTAATCGACCTATTGTCCACGAAAACAATCAATTTTAAACACTGCTGCGCATTATTTTATAGGCAATTTTTATTTATACTTAACAAGATTTCTTTTAAGTAAAAGCATTTAAATGTCTGGGATAATGAAGCACATAAATGAAAAAATTATTGAATTACGCACCAAGAAATTAAATCTTATAATTAAAAACAAAAAATATTACACACCTTTGGCTTAAAGTTTAAATACAAAAAATTATTAAAAATATTTCTTTTAAAAGATTACGATTTCTTAAGTTATATTTGTAGAATTTTAAATATTTAACTTAACGTTTTTTCACCTGGCACTTCGCTAGAGGCCCACTGTCGCCAGGGGTTGCCACGGCGCACAAATGAAATCTCGCAGGCATAACGAGCTCATGACTCTTTGCCGGCAAGGGTTGGGCAGGATCAGGGGCAGGAGATGGAGGTGGAGAAGGAGCCAGGACTCTCTCACACACACACACAAGGGCACTGACATAGGCAAATATATAGTGGCTGAGACTTGGGCACATACACATAGAAAAATATGGCACGTACTCCCCGAGAGCCATAAGTTTACGTTTTATATCGGGCAAACTGTGCAATATTATAAATTTTGAATTTTATCTCGGGCATTAGATTGCCAGCGAGTTGCCTGGTTGGCTGCGAACCTCTCTCCGCTTCTCCCGTAGCCACCATGTTTCCCAGACTTTGTGTGAGTTGGTTTGGATGGCCGACCGCCCCTTTCTTGTTAGGGATTAAATGAAAGGACGTGCTCGAGGGCGCAAGTAGGAGCTCCTGGCGAACGGGGCAGGTGGGTAATGGATGGCAACAAAGGGTGATTATCGCGATTGGCGAAATAGTTGGGCCGTGGCTGGGGCTGGGAATATTAATGTTAGAGGTATCTGGGAACTTTGTGCGTTGTCGTAACTTCTTAAACTTACTGTTCTCTCTTCGTTTTTTTTCTCTTTACTGTTTTCCAGGGGCAAGGACATGCATATAGCGGGAATAAGGACACGTCTTATGTGACAAGTGCTGGCTAAACGTCTGAGGTTATCGCATTTATTTTCGATTCTCCGGCCCATCCCCGCCGGAAACTCAGGACAGCAGCAACCACCGAACAGGACGACCGGAAGTGAGGAAAACGCTTGTAAAATCGGGCACACGAGTGCGAGCGAGACACGAGCGAACGGGCCGAAAGGAAACGACAATTACGAGGACATGCCGGCTTGCCTTTCTGCTGTTCCTGTCTGCTCCTTTCAGTTGCGGCCGTGCAATCGTCGGGTCAACAACGCCACGCGTCCGATACGGATCTACGAAATAACATATCTTCAACTCTGGATCCAGCTTCATCTGCATCTGCAACTGCATCGTCACTTTCGGATTATGGTGATTCTGTGCGACCTCGTAAACGTATACTGAATGTATCCTGAGTGTATCCTATCCGGTATACCTTCAGTATACGTAACACGAGGAAGCACGAGCAACGCGGGATGTGAAACACTTTACTTTAAAAATATATGTAATTTAGGGCACTGTGATTTGCTTTAACACTTTAGTCTTTAGTTTAACACTTTTAGTCTAATAACTACACACTTTGTTAATAAAAGAGTTTAATAAATGTAAAATTGGAATTTATATAACACACGTCTACGATTTTTACTGGATGGTTGGGCAAGTTGTGCGACACCCAACCTGTTGCTTTTGCTTTTGGAACCAGATGGATGAACAGCTGACTTGAACTCCGACCAAGAGCAACAATGTTGATGGATTATAGCACAAACTGTTTAAAATGGAATACTTTCTAAATGATTGGAAATAAAGAAATTACAAAAACAAACATTAAAGTATTCAAGATTTAATATGTCGGTTGTTTTGTTTTTAAATTTTAACTTATACAAAAAGCATTTCTCTTGACTTAAGACAAAGCAAAATGTAAATATATTGAGTTTTTTATGGGTCATAAAGAAATCTTTTCTGTCGTAAAATCTTATTTAATATTCTCATTAAAAACCTTTAGATGGCCTCATCATGTATTTTTCAACACACAATAAATAATTTAATGCACAACTTTTGACATGCACAATGACAATATAAGCTATTTAAATATTTAAAAGATATTATTTCTTAGGGAATATGAACACAAACAAATAAATTCCAAATTTAAAACTTTTTTAATACGCTGACTTCGAAATGTATTAAAATACGTAAACAAAAATTAAAGTACCAAGACTTTATCAATATATAAGCTAGCCCAGTAAAACTTAAATTGTTTTTTCAAAAGTATAACATCTAAAAGGAAATAGTAATTGATAACTAAGAAGTAAATGATAAGCTGAGAGAAAGAACAACAAAAATAATTTAATTTAATTTTTTAGGATGACGTAGGTCATATTTATAAAGAAATATCAGTAGGATTAAATAATAAAAAATAAATTAAAAAAAAATAAATTGTAGGCCGTGGGCTCATATTTGCTTAACAGCGACACTGTCGGACAGTGGGTGTAACTATCATAGCGCCATCTATTGCGCCTCAGCTGTACTTTTGTCTTTTGGTGCGCATAATCGGTTTCAAAGGGAATTCGGGGTTGAAATTTGGTTTCTTATAAGAATAGTACTACAAATCATTTGCAATTTTTTCTCTATTAGGCAGGCACCACTGTTTCACCTATTAAATTATGTATTTTTTGTTGAAAGCAATTGAGGTAATTGATGGCCTAAAATTAACAATGAGGAGCATATGGTGGGCTATGACTCAAATTGTATATGCCGAACATAAGTAGATTTTCAATATTTATTTTTGGTTTAACTTCTTCCTCGTTTTTGTATACCCTTGCAATGGGTAGCTTAGTTTTGGTAAAATTTTGAGATAACAATGAATTTTTATTTCTCTCCGAGCCTATTAAATATGTATTTTTGATTAATTATGGTTTTTATACCAAGAAATCAGTTTTAAAGTTTATTAGCTCGGAAGAAAACCAGAAATAGAGTCATAAATAAAAATGTTATCAGTTTCGTACTTCTCAGCTAATGGCGTTATGTTTTTTTTTGAGTTCTTCTGTTTTAGAATGGGCAATTCCAGAGGAATGACCGCGTCCTAACTGCATAACTATTTCTATCTTTATTTTCATTTAATATAATTATAGTTTTATGTTCACTTTATTTTTCCTTTAATATTTTCAAGGGTATAATACTTTCGGTGCTAAAGTTCCTCTTTTTCTTTGAATTTTTTCTATAATATATCTCCGAGTTGCCGGTGTCCAAGCCGTTGAACCTCAGCTGGCAACTAGCGCTCAAGTCGAGCATACAAAGTGTCTCGGAGAGACCTCGCCATGATGATAAAGAGGCGGTGGAGGGAAAGGGAAAGGGGAGGAAAAGGAATAGGAGAAGGAAGAGGAAGAGGGGACAACCGCAACGAAGGAGATAACGAAACCAAATACAAAACTTGCCCGACAACAAGAAGCAAATGAATTTATGAGCATGCCCAGCTCTCATTCTCCATTTCTCTCTCTTTCTCCCTCTCTGTCTTTTGCTCCCCCTCCTCCTTGCTCACCGTCCCGTTGCCATGGCAACAATGGCCGCTGCGAAGGAGCGAGCAAAGCGGAGAGCGAGAACATTTAATTCGGCCATATTTGATTTTGGACATGCTGTCATTGCTCTCGATTTTCGGGGTGGGTTTTCGGATTTCGGTGTCTTTTAGTGCGGCTGCTCTGTTAATCTTTGTATGAGTATCTTTGTATCTGTATCTTCAGCCGGTTCCGCCGGCAAAACGAGATGGCTTTAACTTTAACCTCTGGCGCAATTTCCCGGCTCATGGCTTTTTTGGGCACAATCATGGCATTTTAATCCCTTATTAATTTTACGATCTCGCAACTGGGGAACTGTGGGCCAAACACGTCTTTAAAAGCAAATAAATCAATTTCATGTCGTCTGGAACTCACCTACTGTATTTATATTGCCCAAAATTAATATGCAACGAGAGGCTTATGGGCCTAAATGGCCATCGATTAACTATAAAATTGGCGATTTACGGCTGCGACCATAAAATCTTGATTCGAGTTGGAATATAGCGAACAGTGGAGAATCGGGTTGGGTTCTTTCTGGCGCTGGGAGCACATTAACTATAAATATATAGCTAGTGGAATTTATGGGCGAGTCTTAAGCTGTCGAAAATTGATTTACGACTCGCGAGTCGACAGCGCTAACCATGCGATCCCAGCAAAGTGAGTAAGATATTGGCGGAATGTCTAACGAAATACCACTTGTCCTATACACCTGTCCTTAAAATGATTGAGGCTCCATTAGCTTTCCAAACAAGTGGAAATAAAATACATTCGTTCATTTGTATTTATAACGCCTTCATAGCTATAACTTACCATATTGGTAAAACAGTTTATTAGGAAAGGTGCGAAAAAATTTACTGCATCCATAAAATGATCGTATAACTATATCAAAATAACCATAAATTCTTATAGTTAAAAAATTCAGGAAATCCAATAAATATTCAAAGCTTTGTTCTCTTTCTGCAGAGGAATGCGAATCCGATGGCATTGCCTTTCACAACTCTTTATCTGATGGGAAAAAAAGCCTTTCTAGGGTTTCATTTCAAAGACCTGCTCTGGAACCAACCCATTGCAAAATATAATCACGATTATGATGATTATTCTAAGGGGACGGTCCACATAGGTTCTCCTTTTTTATGACGCCGTCAAATCTTAATGAAAATCAATAAAACTCTGGCTTGGTTCCCATATTCAGACGGTTAATAAAGAGATTACATATCGGCTGTTTGTATCAATTGGCATTACTTACAAGTGCCCAGAGTATCCATCCGCGAGTCCCTCGAAGAACTGCAATGAAAGAGGAGGAGACGGAATTAAAAATCTTCGCATGGCTGTAAAATTATTCGAATTGAAAATTGTCAATTAATGCACTTATTTCCAGCCAGACTTTGGCTGATAAGGCGCAATGAACCCGAGGGACTGGCATCAATTTCAATAACTCGAAGGCGGAGATTTTTAGGCAGCCCCGCCGGGGAGGGGTAATTTATGCATTCTTTGTTCTGTCTACATGCCACTCGTGATATTTAATTTAAAAAACAACAAGGGAAACAGCTCGGAGTCACATATAGTATGTATATAAACAAACAAGCTAAACGTGCACTTGGCATGACAGACACCGAGTGAAAAAAAAAAAAATCCAGACAAACGGGGGAAATGGGCTTGGGATTGGGTCTGCGATTGCGATTGCGATTGTCGAGTGACCACAGCGTTCCGAATATTTAAATGCAGTCGCCCATAAGACATTCGAAATTGCCATAAATAAGCAGCCCAGTGACAGGCGTCATTTTCGAATTCCTGTGGTGGCGATTCCATTCCATTCCCGGCGTAGAGGATGCGTCATTAGTCTTAGCCCCTAGATTGTTAGCCGGCCGGCCAAGAATAGCCAACACACTCACGTCATGCTGGAAATCGGGGCTAGAGCATATAGGGGCTTATTTTTTGCGACCTCGAAATCATAATTCAGGATTTTATGGCCTTTTAAGTGCCATTAAGTCAACTCTTTCCTCGCCCGCGGCGTTTGCCGAGGCCACTTTCGCTTTTTCCTTGAACATTCGCTGCCGGCAATTAAACATTTTGTAATTGCAACTCTTTGACGTAGCAGAAAGGAACCGAAACCAAGCGATCCCAACCGAAAAGAACGGAACGGAACCCGACCATCCCGGGCGATTTGTGATTTTTTAGATTTTCACTCTATTTGCGGTGCTGCGCCCACACAGACACCAAAATACGAAGGCAGCAGCAAATTCAAGGCACTGCGGCGACCATTAAAACTGCTTTATGGTCCCTAAAAACGAAAGCGAGAGTCTCGCCCAAGGAGGAACATGTGTAGGGGTTTGTTTTCCCATTTCCACTTCCATTTTCCTCGCCCAGCCAAGCGGCGGAAGGATTAATATTTTTATGGAGCACTTTTCTGGCTGTTTGCTGAATTCTGCAACAAATTGTTTTACAGCCTGCGGGTGGTTGAGCTAGAATCTCTGGAAATTGTACAAGCAATTGAAAATCCTTCTTTAATGGCAATAAACTGCAAGCTTTGCCCTTTAAATTCTATATTTTTCGTAAATTAAACTCGGAAATATAAATAACATTTTTTTCTGCCAGTGTTTAAACATTTCTCGGTGTTAGACCTTATGCTTGAGTCACTACTAATTAATAATGCTTTTTTAATGAAAAATATTAAAAAAAAATACCTTCGGAGTAATAGCAAAAGGTTTAGAGATACAACATTTTCGACAGCACGAAGGATTTGAAGATAAAAATAAAAATGTATTATTATACAATAAATGTTTCTTAGTGTCGTTTAAGAAATACCACAATAAAAATATAATATTATTATATTATTATTTCAAAAGACGATAAAATGGGAAAAGTATTGTTTTTGGGTGTGGTCATTTAAACTCACGAGCTTCTATTTTTGTCTAAAATTTAAATCGTGAGCAAAATATTTGATAAGAATTTTACATCTTACCTTGAATAATTTTGGGAATATTAACAATCATATTATCTACTCAAAAAAAGGCAATATTTATTTTTTTCCTTTGTTTATATTTTGATAAGGTCGTTGAAACCCGATACGTTGTTTATTCGGCAAAGTGTCAGGGTAAATTAAAATTTATTAACAGAAAGCAGATCTTCTAAAACAATTTGTAGATTACGCAATCCCATTAGGAGACTAATATCAATGATAACTGGCCGATTTCTATGCAAAATCGGATTTTGAGAGTGTGAAACGAAATGACAAAAAATACTCAGCCAGACAAAAGAAATATCAGATATCAGATTCAGCTTCTCAAATTGGCGAGTAAAAAGCTTAGTTTCTGTTCTGCCCACCTGTTCGGTAACCAGAGTTTGTGACCGTTTCTGGGAACCCACCATTGATAGGACTCCTCCCCCTAATCGAAACCCCTTTTTTCCCCCAATTCTCCAATTTCGATCTCCCTCGGCGACGGGGAACGGCTGCCATTTATGTGCGGTTGGAAAGCGCCTAAAGTAAACATTTAATTGCGCCATTAATTGCGCGGTAAGTGTGCCAGATGCACATGCTCGTGCTGAAGGGGCGTGGGGCGGGGCCAAGAAAACAAACAAATTCCTTCGGTTTGGTTAAGTGCCCAGCGGTGCACTCGAGAAAAAACTTCACCCCACTCCGCTCCTCTGGAAGACCCTAACCCGCTGACTTTTACGAGCATTGGAGTCTTCCATTAAGGCGCTCCGAGTTCGCTTCCCCGCTTTCTCCAGTCCTGATCCTCCATTTACCCCACTCTTTCTCCCATTCTCCGTTTTTCTCCACACTTGAAAAAAATCTATAATGAACTCAGCTCGACATTTCCATTCAGTTGCCAAGTCATTCAGGGTTTAAGTGGTCCAGAGCTTGATATAACTAATTCACTTCGTAGTTGGGTAATAAAATGTAAAATATAATTCAATCAAATACCATTGAAAAGGCCTTTTTCTGAGTGTATCTGGCCTCCACCTTGCATCCCGAGTTACCGTCGCTCGGCAACTTCTGGCGCATTAACTTTGTGTGTTTAATGCGGAAAATTATTGTCAATACAATCGACTTTTTATGATGCTTAAGTTGACAGTTTTTGTTGCTGTTCCGGTTTTTAATTTTTGCCCTTCTGGCGATTCCTCTGATCTCGGGTTGTTCTTGATTGAGACTCCAATGTATACCCATTTTCTTAATTATGATTCAATTAATGAAGAGTAAATAAACAACGTATCAAGCTGGATGCTACTGGCCAAATTCTTTTAGTTTTTATGGTTAAACCTTCTTCCTGGAAGGAAGCACTATATAAGCAGGACAGTTTTATTGAATAATTAGTAATTATCATCTATTGTATCAAGTGAGTAAGTCTGAAAAAGCCTAAAGCCTGATTGGTAGTACAAAATTTATTGTATTTGCTATGTAAAATGTTTTCTTTTAATAGTACTCGATTTTATTATTGGGTATTGACAATTTCTTAGAATTAGTTAGGTTTTATATTTAGGGAATTTAAAGGATTTGGTGAACTCATGATTGTGAATGCAATGTTTATAGTATATAATACAAACTTCTAAAATCAGACGAAGTAATTTACACACACGAATTTTAGATTAAATAATATAGAATGTTTTCTGCTTCTCCATTTACTAACAAAAGTGTATTAATATCCTGGTTAAAGTTAAATATAAGAACATGTATGGGTAAAATTTTAAACGAGGGTTCTCTGCTATAACCTGTACTAAACATTATTAATATAAAACAAACGACCATAAGTAATAAGCAGGTGTTAAGCCCCAAATGCAACTATTTGCTTTAAGATCGAGCCCGATTAAAGGGAATTCCATTTGCCAAAAATGAAACGACACACGACGCGCCGCCTGGCGCCATTAACTTAATCGAACGGAAAACCAAACAAAAGCCGCAATTAACATTAAGCCCTTCGTCAGTCTGGTTTTGGGTATTGGGCACTGTTTAGGGTCTATGAGCTCCTGAATGCTCCAGGAAACCTGCACAACCCATGGGAATGTTGACTCTCGGGTGAGTGCGTGTGTGTTTGCTAATTTGAAATTCTGTGGCATAAGCACAGGGAACCCCGAGTCTCCCCCATCATCATCGTCCCATCCTCGTGTACTACTGGCGAACTACATTAAATTTTAGAAAACACAAAATGCCGCTTTCCGTGTTCCCTGCTTGGCAAACAATTTCACATAAATTTACGTTGAATTACAACCGACAATGTGTACAAATGCACCGGGGGAGTGGCCGGGCAGAGGGGGGGGCTTTTGCCAAAGTTGTGACTCGGTCTCGTATTCTGCCATCTTTTTGGCAAGTCAGAAAATGTATTCCAGACACGCATCGGGCCATTTTGCAAACGTGCCACCGAATGAGGCTCAACTCCGGGCTCCATACCGCCCTGCTCCCTTGTAACTGGGCAAACACACAACCGCAACGACATCCGCCCACCCACTCAGAGGACCCTGAAACTTTCCGGCTGACTTTGCTTTTATTTTCCCGGCCCGCTTTCCCCAAACCGAAATCAAGAACGGAAAGGACAAACTTTCCGCTCTTTTTTTTTTGGCGAAAATAAGTAAAGTTTGAATTTGGCAGACATAAATTACTTTGGGGCTCCATACCGCAGCAGCGCTCCCAAGGACATTGTTTAAAATGGGGCAGTTCAAGCAAAAATTTGGCGAAAAAACGCCATTTAAATACAAATTTAAATATATATAAAAAAATATTAATTTCGATTTTAAATAGGTTATACTTTCTAACGTTCTTAAAGGTTTTTCGGTTTTTTTCCAATATATTTTGCAGTATAAAAAAACTGTTCCGCTTTTACCAATCCCTTCAAACTTTGTATTAAAAATAAACTTCTTAGAAAAAAATATGAAAGCCAAGTATATTAAAATATTTTCTTTCATATACTTATCTTAACTTAAGGATCAAATGTTTTCAAGTTTGATTATAGTAAAGTATAATACTGATCAAAAGATAATTGTGACGTCTTAAGAATCTGTAAGAAAAATCTTGGTTGGTTTTTTTTTCTTTATATATCTGTCTGGAAAAAGAAAAATTCTCCAGCACCGAAAAAAAGGAAGCCAATTTCTCCCCAAGGACACGAACATAGTTTTCCATATTTTTTTCTTCCTAGCTTTTCCTTACATTTTATAATCGCCGCCGCTGCAAAATATATGAAATAAATAAATAATAAAATACACTGACTGGGAGGAGTGGCAATGGCAAGTGGGCGGGTAGTGGGCGTGGCCTAGCAATGCCATTTGTTTGCCTTCCAAAAGTTTTGCTCTTA